CATAATATTGCATGAGTTCCTTGTTTTTCAATGCAGCGTAGTATTCCATTGTGTGAATATACCACAGCTTCTCTATACATTTGTTTGTTGATGGGCACTTAGGTTGCTTCCAGCTCCTTGCTATTGTGAACAAAGCCACGATAAATATGAGTGTGCATATATCTGCTTGAGATCCATCTAAATTTTTTAAGTTTGAAGTTTTATGATGAGTACATATTACTTTATGAACTTTGATAAATGTCGATAGTTGTGGATGGGCTTCAGGCCTTTTGTGAGTTGTGCTTGACTTGAAGGTAATTAACAAGAACAACAACATTATAACATTGATGCATACATATAAATATGTAAATAAACACACATACACTATATAAATTAAACCACACTTTAAAGCCTAATTGAGATGAAATGGAGAAACAGCCTTGCTACATTACAAAGCTCGCTGTTTAATTTTTTTCTTTCTTTATACTTCATGAAATGATGTCTATGTCTTTCTGACAGGTGTAAAGTCCAAGCTTAAACTAATCTCTCCATTCTCTCTTTATTTGAGTTCCATTTCTATACTTCCCATCCTCATGTTAATGAACATGTTATTGTTAGGTGTTGTCAAGTTGAGCATGACCCATAGCAAACCCAGAAATAACAGATCTGTATCCTGGCTTGTCCTGTGCCATCCACTTCATTGCAGAAGAGCCCACCGTTACAGTCACTGGGTCAGTCTATCTTATTGAAGGTTTTCCTGTCTCTTGCTGACCCTCCACCTTACTGAGTATGTTGTCTTTTTCCAAGGACTGAGCCCTCCTAACAATATGCCCAAAGTATGTGAGATGACATTTCACCATCTTTGCCTCAAAGGAGCACCCCAGTTTCACTTTCTCCAGGACATACCTCTTTATTCTCTTGCTAGTCCATTCAGTATTCTTCTCCAGCATCACAATTCAAAGGTTAATGATAAAGATTAAAGTCTTCTTTTATCATCCTTATTCGTTATTCAACTCTGAGATGGAGAGCAAGTGATTGAAAACACCATGGATTTGAACAGGTGCACCTTAGTCTTTAAACTTCCTTCATTGCTCCTTAGAATGTCAGAGAAGTTTTTGACAGCAGCTTTTCCCAATGTAATTCATCCTTTGATTTAAATTATATGAGTGTTTGATGGTAGTTCAGTGATATTATGGCATCATACTATTCCTGCAAGTTTGGTATAGAAGAGAAACATAAGACCCAGTGATGCACCCATAATAATGGATCGTCATGAGGTAGAATTTCTTCAGTTTTAGTCCATAATGAAAGCTCTTTTTTTTTAATCCACCAGCAGCATCAGTCTATCACTTGAGAGCTTTCTAGAAATGTGAAATCACTGATTCCACTGGAATCATCATCTTCATTTTAATAAGCTTCACATAAGTCTGTGTTCCTTTAAGTTTGAGAAGCACTGGCTTACAATACTTAAAACAATCAGAGAACGGGGACCAGATTGAGAACTACTCCCTAACCTTTGAACTCTCTGGTGGCATCGTCTCATTGGCCCAGACTCCAGCCTTGAGGCCCAACTTAGGTGGAAGAAGGAGGCCATAAATAGAGCCTCACCTCACTAGCACGCTGCCTCCGCACTAGCACGCTGCCTCCCCTCCACACTTCAAGGACGGAGATTCCTCCCTTTGGGGATATAACTTTCTAATAAATCTCTTTCCTATTTTACCTTCAAAAATATATTTAAAATAATCAGAATTGAAAATTGGCTAATTTGGGTTGCAAATTGTTCTTCAATCCCATATTTGTTCGTGCCTTTAGTAACTGATATTTAAATGCTCTTGAATTTCTATTTAAATCTTGCAGTTCCTCCAGCAGTTACTGCAAGTTCCTTTAGAAGCACTTACATTAAAGCCTTTGCTCTATTTCAGTCAAGAAGGTGATGGTAATGTTTGTTAGCAACACAGCTAGCTCCCAAACGTCATCTTCTGACATAACTCTAACCATGGGGATTCTAATCAGCTGAAAAGAGTTGTTTGCTGTGTGTGCTCAGAGTTGTTGTTGTTATGTGCCGTCGAGTTGTTTGCGACTCATAGCGATCCTATGTACAACAGCCCTAAACCCTGCTCTATCCTGTGCCAATCTCATTGCCTCTGACAAACCCATCCCAAGTACCCCAGTCACTGAATCAGTCCACCTCATAGAGGCTCTTCCCCTCCTGCGTTGTCCCTCCACTCTACCCAGCATGATGCCCCTCTCTAAA